AAAATACGTACATAGCCACACTTAATCTTATGAATATAATGCTGATTTTGCCATATAATAATAATAATATTAGCACTATCATAATCTAAAGGCTATCTACATATAATATTAGTGTACATTTATGTATGGAGAAGTGCAAACACTTAACGCTTGTGGGTATTGCCCCCGTTGCGAGTGCACGTATTTATGATTAGATATGCGTTTCAATTGCTGTCATTGTTATCGTGAGATTCTGTCTTAGTATAGCTTATCCGATGTATCTCGATGCAGCTGTCTATTTTGTTATTATATTGCGTGTCTTCGCTCCTTTTTCTTTGTTATTATCTATCTTATCTCAAATAGTATTGCTATGTAAAAAAAAAAACTGAACTGAAGATAATAGTGGACGTATTTGATGTGTGCACACATTTGTACCTGGAATAATAAACAGGCATTTTTGTGTGTATTGTTTCGTGTACAACGTCGGTAGTGGGCCTCAAATGCGCCTAATATCGTCAGTACAGTAAAAAATTGCGCTTTTCTTTGAAGAAAGCAGAGCAATTTAAGGGACCTCTAATCAACGATTGCAGTTACATCGTCTATCTGATTTCCAAAATAAATCGCTTTCAGCGAAAACAAATGTTGCTGCTTTGGGATATTTATTATCCTTTACAAAATACGTCTACACTAAAAGACGTGCGTATCGATATTAAGAAACGGAGCTATTAGCGCAAGCACATTTTCAATTTGATTTGGGCCTAAAAAATCTATGTTGTACAAATTAGTGTGTTCATCAAAAGGCTTTAGAAGCGCTAAATGCCTACATATATTTTTTCTAATGTCAAAAAACTTTTCTTGATCAAGCATTTGCTCGTGAGGGCCCCTTGCTAAATCGGTGTAAAGATGTACAATAGCAAGGGTGTGCTACATGTTTTTATTTAAGACGAAAGCTTAGATAAATGATTATTGACAAATAGCAAGTTATTATGTGATGCCTATAGTGATAAAATGATCGATGGACGATCAATGGCGACGTGATCCGTGTGTATACCTTTATATTGAGTTGCATGCGTTATTTGACTATTCCCTGTTCCTTTCGGCTGCATGAGCGGACGACTACTCGACTGGCTCAACAAGTAGTTCATCTATGCCGCTGTACAGTGAATGTTACTAGCTTAGTAGGAATTGTTGATCGCCAATCAAAGCGGAAACAGGACAGGAGCTGTGGATGGGGAAAGTGGGTTACAAGCAAGCCTTTGCAGACACGCAACAATGGTACACGATGACTGAGATATAATATACCGTTTAACAGTGTAAATGTATTGAAATCTGTTAGAGTTTGATAATATTTTAATTATTTCATTTACTATTTATTATTATTATTTGACCGAGCCGGCAGTAGCAATATGTTTAAAATATGAATATGAAAATGTTTCATAATGGGCTAATTGAGATACCACCTAGGATAATGTCTGGGTTGCGTACTCATTTGACTGATCTTAGCGATCGACTGTACTATGGTAAAGAAAAAATCTATATTATAAGCTGTATCGTATTCAAACCGTGTTCATATTCTCGACTGCTGCTTCTACTATGGTTGGTTCGCACGGAATTGGTAGATTTGACATCAATGCCAAGCCTTAAGTTGACTATATCGTTTCAGACTGGTAGGCTTTTAGAATTCTTCCGTTTGGCATGTACCTATTACAATGTCACCCTATGTACCTGCAGATAAATTTGTATGACCGCCTCGGCTAATATTGAGAAAGACGATCTGACACTAATAACAAACACCATGTGTTTGTTATTGGTGTCAGATAGTCTTAATAAATAATATAAATAGATAAACGAACACTTGAGTAATCCACAAAACAGGTAATTACGTTACAGCGCAACTAACATCGTAAAAGAAAAGGAGCGCTGGCGTCTAGTTGATTCAGAAATAGCTAATTGAGGGAAGAATACTTTGCACCACTACAGACGGCCATAGGGGGCACGCCGGGACGCTTGCGGTCTGTAACGATTTCAACAAGAACGAACGAAACGAATATTGGCATCATTGTCCGTGATAGCCTGAAACATTGAACGCGTCCTGTAGTTAGAGGACTCGTTCCACTTTATTGATTTATATGTGGTATTATTTACTTTTCCGCGTCCATGTAACTGCCAAGCCTTAAAACGCTCAGTTGAACGTCGTGGACACCATATCAAATACTACAGGACGAACCGGTTAGTTATGTAATATATAATGAATCTTGTCAACACATAAACCATAAGCGTCGATAATTGACGCCAAATCCCAAGTTGTATGCATTCTGCAGTTATCGTAGTACGGCTGCTGTCGGTCTGCAATCGAACATGAACGTATTAGGTCTTAAGTAAGTTATATCATTAATACAAGACGTACACTATGTCATTTACATTATCGGATTTAAGCTAGCATTGCTTTAATTGTAATCAAACACCCATTTTAAGCTGGGCAAAGTGCGCGGGATGGCCTATAACTTACTTCAACATTTGGCGTACTTCATGTACCAAGTGCCGCTATGGAACACAGGTGCGTGTTTTGGCAGCTCGAGCAGGAGCAGTTCGCAGTAAATACAAGCCGAGTATACCTGCAAAAAATATTGAACAGCCGTTGAAAACAGAAACAAATCACTTGGTCACCGCGTCTCGTGGCTATTTCATACAATTATAGCATATTTTCATGGCTTGGACGAAGGAGTAAGTGTGAGCGGTGAATAGCCTCGGGTGATTTCGTAGCACCTACGCCGCCTGTGTTATGCAAAAAGGGTTCTTGTTGACCCTCTAGGCAGCCAGAGAGACAGAGGTCGCCTGCAGGAAAGGACCGTTGCCAGCACTCAGATAATCCTCTGTAACGAAAGGCCTGTTCAGTTCCGGTGTTTAATAATGCTCGAAGGATTGCGGTCGTTTTCAGGAGAATCCGAGCCGAAGAAGATGCTATGTGCATTATTCTCTGTTTTGCTATCGGATTTCCACTGGAGGATCAAACAGTGTCTGTGCATAAAGTCCAGATTAGAACCTAAATCTATGTATCCTGCCTCCGATTAGTAGACGGCAAACACGTTATCATAGCATCATTGCAGCTTTTCACATAATTACTTTTAGTGTTTGCTCGGCGAGCTTCTAAATGTTTCATTTCTATTGTCAAATTGTAATGTTCGACTGCGATTAGCTGTCCTTGTGATTGATAGAGCTGAAATGCTAGAAGTTAGGAATCTTTTTTCGTTTGGCAGGGAACACTCACCAAATTCGGTAAATGATTTCAGAACCTTTCACTGTTGTCCAATGTACCAAGTGGGGCGGTAATTGGTAACCACCACATCTGAAATTTATATATATACGTACATATGTGCTTACACTGGATGTTTCTTCTTCCTAGTAGTGCACTTTGACTCTCAGTGGTTTCTACAAACGTAATGATTCGAGGTCAATATATCGACTTCTCAGGTCAACCAGATTAAGTGTTAATAAGGTCATAACTGCGCGAATTTTGCTCGTGTTCATAAGCGTGTAATTAGTCCATGTACCTTACTTTTTGTGTAATGACCTTCGGGTCTAATACTCTCTCCAAATTATCAATTGCGTCACAAAAATTTATGATCAGACCTATGCTCAAGTATCTACGTATCAGATCTAGCTAACCCACGTCCAGCCAGTAAGAATTTCAGCCTTGGTCTGAATCATTCAGCTCTCCTTATCGTAAGTACAATGCAAACATATTTGACTTATCTATGTGCATACATGCTTCATTACGTATATACGCTAGACAACTCAGCGGTGCCGTACAGGTTAGAACCAGTTCGGTGTATTCAACCATTAGTAGCACGGCTCACACCGATGGAACACGACTTTTGCACTAGCTTGAATGGCGCCATTGACTATTGGCTCTGTTCTGATTGATGTCATGTCGGTTACCAAGAAGTACAACAGATTCCTTTTAGAGCAAAAATGAAAGAACCTATGGGTATTATGGATTTACTAGAAACTTTCTGGAAACATAAAGCCGATTGTCGACTCATTAAATATAGTGCCGTGGTGTGCTGGCAATTTCTGTCTACGCGGAAAAGGAGTCGGCCCTAGCATATTTACCTATTGCCCGTTGTCCTTTGTTTTTGTACTGGAGCTCTATTCAACGACGACGATGATGTGGTAGAAAGTGGTTGCCCTGGGACGTATCACCTCCTAAAGTCTTGGTTCCTAAAGATGGCCGCAGTGGCCATATCCCAACGACCTGGAAGAACCGGACCGACACAGCTTTGAGCTAATGCTGTTGCCGTTTAGCGCCACGGCGCTTCTTCATACCAGCAGTAATAAATATATCGTATCCCGCATCATATCACGTCTCATCTCGTCCGATATTCGACTGGGTAACGACGAGATCTTGTCCCCGTCTTCCTTGTCCTCCTCCTCTGGGCTTAAAGAAGCGGCAGTGGCCGCCAACAACTGCGGCAACTTTGACTTGCCGCCGTGATCAGTCGACGCTCTGAATTGACGCCGAAGTGCTTCTAATCTGTATGAACATACGCTAGCGGTTTGACAATTAAAAGCGTATGTGTCAGCAAAGCGGAAACGGAAGAAAGACGGAACTTGTTGACGCGGCCTACGAATACACGACACATGATTCATTTAGATTATTATATTAGTTCTAAATTGCAACTGTTATTGTGAAATAATAAAAGAAAAAAAATCTATAGAACGATAGACTAGACTATGTTTATTATTTTTATAGAAGCGAAACAGCGAAGAAGAAACGAGATCAACAAAGATTATTTTAGAGTTGGCGCGCGAATCATAGCCATGTAGTGCTTCGAAAAGCGAAGTTTTACCAGACATTTCCATGGGAAAGCAGCGCTTGTTTGAGTCCCTTTCTTTCATAATACCCTCGATGGGACTAACCCGGACGATGTTGTGATCCCATACGTTGGTTCGGTTACTGTTTTGGTTCTGCTATCGGATGACAAAAGAAGAAGCCATCAGGTCCATCATCCCACAATTCAGTTGTGGATACGATTCCAGTGTACAATAAACACAACAGACGGTAGTGCGGACAAGCAGAATACCACCCAGTGTTCCATGCTATTGGCAAATGTAAGTACATTTGACGTCGAGGACAGCTCAAAAAGCAGCATAGCAGGTAAAAAAAACCCAAAGCCACCACTGCACGTTCTATTTTTCGCTGTCGGTGCCAGCTCCTGACCACGTGATGGGCTGGGCTGGGCTGAGCTGAGCTGAGCTGGGCTATTTGGCGTTAGTAGTCACTGTAAGTCAGATGACTTTCGGCATCAAAGACCAAGTGGTTTCCCGTGGCAAATTATTCCAGAGCGCTGAAATACGACTGTTAAGTACGACAAACAAATGTCAAGTACCTAAATGCAGATAGCACGTCTTTATCTGATATTTTTTTACGTAATTAAGGTGTGTGTACTACTAATATGAACCGAACATGCGGTGCTTGTGTCTATTGTTAACTCATCGCTTCCTGGAATAAGTGATTGGTCTTACTATATTTTAGAAGTTTTGAGTTCGACTGATATTGGCCACTTCAACGACAGTTAAGCAGTTAAAGGGTGTCTTTTCTGTACTGACACTCTGCGGTTTTTATGTCATTTTGTATAGCAATTACAATTTTATAAAAAACAAAAATCTTCGGTGTGATATTACCCGAGCTAAGGAAGACAAAATTAGGCGTTCATCCGCTAATAGACAAAGGGTAAGCATCAGAGGGTATAATAAAGTTGTGCTAAATGAAAGTTTGACAGTATTGCAACATCAAATTAAAGAACCGCATCTTATGTGCAAGTTGCGATAAATTGATCTGTTTCTCATTGTAGATACAGCCACAATAAGATGTACATATACTGCTAGAATATTCGTATGATTAGCTTACGCCTTAAGTTGCTCATTTGAATTACAGCGTTCTTTTTATGTCGAAAAATAGGTCACGTTCATAGCATTAAGCATAATGGCAGAGTTTGGTTATTAATAATGACAAACAATTTGTTCAATTGGCCAGGCGTCGCGTTGAAACCTTGTACCTGTAGGCTTTTTTTGTGCCAGGTTTCCTACATTGGTATTGAATTGAAAAGTATTATAATATAT